ATTTATTTTGCAATGAATATACTTAGCACGCATATCCTCTATTTCTATCACAGCTAGATCTATGAACTATAACTAAAATAGATATTAACTGAGTAGAGGAAATGAGAAGCTAAAATTAATGATTGAACAGTAATGAATTAGACAGAAAATATGATCAATAGTAATTTGTTGGAAACCATTGTAATCATTATAATGATGACTCTATCATTCAGCCTATAGGTACTAATAGTGGGTCCAGTTATTGAATGTGATTGCTATTGTGTTAAAGTCTCTATTATTGGCTTGTACTAGAAGCAGTTGGTTTTTGAGAGAGTGCATGTAGTGTAAGATAGTGTTGGTGTTAAATCAATCTCTTATATTCTATTTACTGTACTGTATATTCTTGTTACTGACTGATATTATTTACATTCATGCTTTTAAATTTTTCCCAGAGCTGTCAGTACAGTTCAGGGGAAAAAGTATGGAATAAAATTTAATATAATACATGAAAAAAGGAAGAAAAATTGAGATATTCTATTTGGATAATGACATACAATAAAGTTTAGAACAACATGTTTACTGTTATTAATAAAAAAACTAAAAGTGACAAACAAACAAAAAATAACAATAAAAGTGAAGTCTACATAGCTCCTAAAGTGGAGGAGGTCCCAAAAGTTAAAACAAATTACCAAGAACCTCTCAACATGGCACATTATGACAGTGCAATGGTAGTAATACCAACAGTAAAAACAAAGTCAGGACAACACTTTCATCACAACAACATTCAGTTATACCTAATTACTGAAAGTGTAACTAGAAACAGTTGGTGTTTCATATTTATTTTTAAGTTGTACAATAACAATACATTATTGAACAGTTTCATGTTAACATTCTATAAATAAGTGATGACAGTAAACACTGGATAAGCCAGAGACACAGACTAGCTGTACACATAAACATGGTGAAAGGTGCTGGCATATTGCTCCTCTTGCTGTGTGCATCTTATGTTATTGGAGAAGGTAAATATGTAATAAGTATAATGATAGACTAGTTCTTATATTAGGGACCAAGGACAGCAATAACATAGAACAACAGGATAGTCACACAAAAGATGGTGAGACAACAAAGTGTATTATTTACAAGTACTGTATTCATTTATTCATGTACCTTTTATACAGAATCAGCTGCAGAAGATATGAGTTACTTCAAGGAAGGTAAGGCAGCTATCAATCAAATAAAAGTAGTTGTAATTTCTTTCTCTTCATTTAGATGATAGTGGAGAGCACGATGATGATACAACTAATGAAGAAACTGATGATCAAACTACAGATGAAGGTATGTATATAAGCAAATAAATTGTCCTATTATTACTTTCTAAACAGATTTAAGTGCTATTGATGAAGATGACACTGAAGGTATTATAATAAATATGACATATTTAACATTTAGATTATTGTAATAGAGAGTAACAGTGATGACAATGATCATGAGCAAGAAAGTCAAGCAGCTTCTACATGCACCTACCAATGGGTCACATACACTGTAATAAAAAGCATTCCTGTCTATGGAAACATCACATACAGGCGCTGTGTTTACAGGAGTGAACCATACACTTGCATGATATACAAGAGGACTCGCTACAGGACGTATGCAAAATACTGCAACCCATGCACTGGGGTCTGCAGGAGGAGATACTACACTTACATTCATAAGCTCATGAGGTCAACGTGCTACAGGTCTGCCTGCAGGTACTCACGAAGACTATACCAATACAGATACGTCATAAGGTACCGATACCGAAGAGTGAGGCAAAGGAAATATCTTTGCGTCTGATCATGCAATAAGGAACTGGATCAGAAACTGTTTGTATATAGAACATAGTATTAGTAGGACTTGTTTTGTTAAATCCTAGACTCCTAGTTAGTTGTGTGATCATTTAGTTTTTAGTTTGATAAAATATTTTAAAAGCAAAATTAATTTTGTGCTCATTAATAGCAACAGCAGTATAATCATAAAGACACAGGCAAAAAACAATACAAAAAAGGGAGTACTTTTAAAGCAATTTTTTAGAAAAGGGTGTTTTCAGAAAATGGCATATTTTAAAACGGCTGTAATTAAAAAAACCAAAGTTGGAATTAGTTCAAACTTTCTACATAGCAAATAATGGAGGATAGTTTTAGAAATTTAATATTATACCCTCTATGTTCTATTCATAAGTGGCCCAAAAGTTCTGTCCAAACCAAGTATTTTATGATTTTCAAAAAACTGATGTACTTGTGTTATCTAGAACTTTGAATGCATAAGGCAAATAGCAAGACATAGTAATTGATAGACCATAGCACACTTTAAAGGAGGAGTGTGTGCATTATGTATTGTCTATGATCATGACGTTGTTCAAGTTA